GAAGATGTCCCTGCCCACGGCAGGGGGGTTGGACTAGATGGCCTTTAGAGGTCCCTTCCCACCCAAAGTATTCCATGATTCTATGATTGTGCCAGTGTCTGGATGATGCAGAATGAGCCTCTTTACCATACTGAACACCCTGTTAAAGAGAAATCCGGTTTATGTTACTGCATGGTGTTTCTGAAATTAGACCCTTTGTTGTGCTGATCGCTGTTTGATTTCTGCCGGCTTGTTTTGCAACCTGTTAAAACGTCCAAACTGATTACTTGGGAGAAAGAAAAGGGACCTGTGCGAAGCCTGCTGACGTCCGCTCCCTGGACTTTTGCAGGTGATCTGCTGCGTTGCAAGCCAGCCGAGCGTGGGCTTGCTCACTTCCTAAGCTTTCATGATCTCTTCAGTCTGCCTATAGTTCCCTTCAACGCAATAATATCCATCCTTTCTTCTGGGTCTGGGAGCACGGGATTTAACTTCAGGTCCCTGCCGCAGTGACACGGTGAAGGCCTGCGGGGCTGCTGGCAGTCCTCTGTTTTGCTCGGCGCCCGGGGCTCCTTTTGCTCTGCCATTTAACGCGGGGTGGTAATTCAAACACGGGACGAGGCTTCTGAGCTCTGTTACTGATTGCAACGTGCCGTTTGCTCTCTGAATTGATGCAGTTACCAGTAATAAGGGGGACATCAGCGCTGAGTGGCGTGATCGCCTGCGAGAGGAAAATTAAATTTTCCTTGCCTCTTCTTACATTTATTTATCGTGCTATCTGTACCAGCAGGATACTAAAGGGAGAAAAAGGAAAACAGGCTTAATTTAAAGGTGTCGTAATTTAAAAGTCATTTCAAAGCGCGCCTTGCTGTTTTGTCTACCCTGTGCCCTCCGGGAGGGTTTCTGGGCTGCTGTTTGCTCTCTGGCATTTCCAGAGAGGCCAAGGCCTGACAGATCAACTTCTCCTTCTTTCAGAATAAGGACAGCGGCGAACGTGAGAACAAGCAGTTCAGAGAAGATGACGAAGAGGAGACCGTCAAGCACAAGTAATTACTTATTTATTCCCACTTGTCACTCTTGTATGTGTTGTTCAGGTGCTGCTCTCGTGTTTGCTAATTAGGATCTTTCCTTGGCTTCTAACATGCAATTTATTATCATTTTTTTTTAGTGTGAATCTGATCTCATGGTGTAAATGATCTGAGATAGGGGAATAAAGAGGGAAAGCCTGGGGCTGACTTGCAGCATTTCTGGGTGTAGCATGGGGAAGGTGGTGCCGTCGGAGGTGTCGGGAGCATTTAGGCTGCCTTGCTCCAGGTTCCCTTGAATTCAACAGCCGTTGCTGCATCTCTGTCCCCTGCACGTGTGTTGTTTTAAGCGTGGATTTTTTTTTTTTCCTCCCATGAATGGAGGCCTGTAGGGTACACGTGGCTGTTTAACTGCGGCCCACCGCTGTTCTCTCTTGTCACTGGAAAATGTGAGCACAAAACTAACCGAGGCAGGGTGTCACTCCTGGCAAGGACCAGCTGACTGTGCAGTTGGTTTCCTGCTGGTAAAAACACCGTCAGGCCTCCTTTGGAGACGACGGGGGGGTGCAGTTTGGTTTGAAGATGTGGGATGTGACCTTTTCTCATCGCTTTAGCAGCTAGAAACCTCCTCTGTGGGAGGTGTGCACCAGAGATGCTGCTGCAGACGAGCACGCGTGCTCTGCTGAGGAAGTAGAGCAAAATCCTCGCTGCTTCTTGGGACTAACTCCCGGCAGAAAACGCATCCCTTCTTGAGAACTGCCCACGTGGATTTGGGGCTGGGAGTGGTTCTGCAGAACCATCACTGACGCTGAACTTTCTTTGTAGGCGCCGTGGTTGGGTTTCGTGCCGAAAGAGGCACGAGGTCTGGGCTGAAGCTGAAACAGGAGCTAGAGATCTTGGAAATGATGATGAATAATGAATAAACAGCTCTTGCTTTCCAGCCCCGCCACTCGATACGCTGCGTGGGGAGGTGATGCAGCATGCGGTGGCCCGCTGACGAGGAGCATCAGGCCTGGGCTGTCTTTACTGCGCGATGAGCTGGCATCGTTGGGCTAGCAGCGATGCACTCCTGCTCCCAAAGTGGAATTCTGAATTGGTCTGCTAAATCTCTGAAAAAAATCTCTTTTTCTACTCCGACTGACTTTCAGGCTGGGGATTGCTTCTTTTTAACCGCTGCTGAGCAGCCTGGAGCGTATCAGAAGCGATGCGGTTTCATACCAAGTCTTCGGCGTCACTACTGTCAAGTTGGCAGATCACTTTTTCCACGAGCGCTTGTTCGTGAGCTCTCATCTTGTGACAGGTTCAGCAAAAAAAACTTCCCTTTGCCTGTGGGTGATGCCCTTGAAACTTCACCGAGGTTATATGTAGAGAGCAGAGGTGTAGAGCAGGAACTCCCATCTCCAGCCAGCTCTGTACTGATGCATGAAACTCCCCGCAGATGTGGGCACAGGGCTTCTCCTGAAATAGGTGGGAGCGATGCCTTCGGGGAGGCAGCTTTTGGGGCAAAAAGTTTCCTTTCCAGATCGATTTTCCTGCAGGATTCTGTAGCTCATTGTCCGTCTATCCAACCACGGCATGTTTTGTCAGGATCCAAACGTAACTTTGCAAGGCAAATTAAAGCAAGATCTGCTCTGCAGGAAATGTTTGAATCACAAATTTGGCTGAGGTGATTCTTAGCTTTTCTTTACTTGTTGAATGTCCTTTTTCTGTCGCCGGAATTGGGTGTGCGTTTTTAACGAGATCTTAGCAGGCCAGCGAGCCGATAACTTGATTTCGTCTTAGATTTTTATGTCCCAATAGTGTAGCTGAACTTTCTCAGCCCTTTGAAAAAGGGAACTGCTGTGCACTAATGCCCTGTCGGCTGGTGGCAAAAAGTAAGCTGAGATAATCCACCGGCGTTTACCCTGAATTTGGGAAACAAGAGGTCCTGGTAACTGAAGTCTGCCTTCCCTGCGAACCGCTCCCTCGCCCCAAACAAGCGTCTCAAGAGCTGTGCTGCTTTCTCATGCCGAAAACCGCCACGAGCACGACGTGGGGAGGGGAAATCTAGTGGTTCAATAAATAATCCTGCGGCCTGTATGCAGGGTTTAGGTGCACTGGACCGCCCCGAAAACCAGGCAGCACCCTGGGCTTTCGCTGCAGGCTGGTTCCTCCTCCATCCCTTGCAGCTGCACCTCCTGCGCCAGCCCGCGCCCGAGACCATCCTTTATACCCTGTGGGAAGGACAGAACCGCCGGGCGCTGGCTTTACTAACATTTTCTCGCTGCCTATGTGACGACACGCTTTTTGGCAGCTTCCTGTTTTTTTTTCTGATCGACTCAAATCTCCCCCCCCCTTTTTTTTTTCTTTTTTCTTTTTTTTTTTTTTTTTGTTCCTTGTTTTTTATCTTTCACGCTGCAAGCTGCCACCGCAGGAACAAGTGCTGACGAAGCCCTCCGCGAAAACCCTGATACACTCGCAGCAGTTTCAGCTCAGGCTATCTCTGATCTGAGCTCTCAGGGGAGTTTATATCTCTAATTGTGAAGAGCTCGGGTTATTATTATTTTTGCTTTTAACCAGTTACGCTTAGCCCACTGACCAGGAAACACCTCCCGCCACGGCGCACCCTGCGATCCGCCTTTGAAAGGAACAGGGTGTGGGTGGACTTTGGCCCTTCCGCCTGGTTCCCGCGGGGAAAAGCGGCCGGTTTGGGGCTCAGGGATCTTCAGGGAGAGCGCTGCGTAAAGCCACGGCTGGCTGGAGACTGGCGTTGCCACCCCGCAGGGAGCAGAGAGGCGTTGAGCTTTGTGGCCGCTTGCAGAGATGAATTTCTGGGAGGAGCTGGGGGAGGCAGGGGTTGGGAAATGCGATCTCTCCCCTCGCCGTGCACTTTTTTTACTCTTTTTTTTTTAATCTCTGCACAGAAAAATACAGCGGCGAGTCTGCTCAGTGTTGGCTTTAGCTTGGCAGGACAGCCAGGGCAGCAGCAAGGATGACTGCTGTGCGGATGTGCTTCCTTACATCCTGGAGCCCGGAGACCTTAATGAAGAGTTTAAAAAAAGCCAAAAAAACCAAAACGAATTGAAAAATTGTAATCAAATATGGGAGAGAGCAGTATTTATGTGTAGGCTGAGCTGAGTACATGTGGCGTGTTTGACCGACATCCGCGTGGACAGCTGAACCTGTTACCGCTGGTGGCTTGTCCTGATGGACACTGTGCGACGCGTCAGGCTCCATCACCACCCCACATCTCCAGGGACCGAGCGCATGTCCCCTCCGTTGGGGAAGTGCTTGGCCCACGGCAGGAGGAGGTGGGCAGAGGCAAGGCTTGTAGCGTCGTACCTTTTGCTGGGCGCTGGAGAAGGGAGAACAGGAGTTTAGATGGCTGAATCCACCTGGCTGGTAACCAGTGGGGTTACCTGGGGGAGACTTAGGAGCTGGCAGGATCTTGGCTCCCTCCTGAAGACGCTTGTGCCCATTTTGATGCAGTGCAGAGCCCTTCTCCCCCCTTCTCCCCTCCAGAAGATGCTGTGGACCTTCACTCTGGTTAGAGCTGTGCCTGTCGCGCTCTGGAGGAGATTCTGGGAGATGATCTACTTTTGCAGGGAAGGCCCCATGGAGCTTCAGCTGGTCTGAAGCCAGGCTGCACCCTCCTAACAGAGAGTGTCGATGTGTTCAACGGGTGCCTGGTGATCCCGGTTTTGCGTTGGGTGTCCCTCTGCCCGTCCCCCACCAAGGGTGAGCAGCCAAAAGTGAAACCCTGGCCCCTCCTACCCAACCCTTGGCTATGAGTTCCCAGCATCTTCCCAGCAGTCCACTCTTTTTCAGTAGTCGTTGCTGGGAACGCATCCCTGCTGTAACCAAACTACAGCATTTTGGGTGTTGATTTTTGGGTGCTTAAACCTCCGTCTGACCTGCCTGTGGGAGAGCTCTTGGTGTGGTGTGGGAGTAAGGCTGTACGTAACCCTGAGCTTACCTGGAGCATCTTTTTGCTCCCAGACCCTGTGCTGGCTCTGTGCTCAGACAGTGGATCTGAACGTGGTTATTGAAGTGCAGAGCTGCAGCAGCATTGTGCTTGGTACTGTTTTGGGGCCAGCTAGGGAGATGTTGAGGTCCTGTGGTCATCTAGATGCCACCAATGTACCTTCAGGGCCCCTTTTTTGGCTTGAGCCTCAAGGGCGGCAGATCGTTTCTGACCCACCACCAGCCAAAGAAGCTGGAGAAACCCCGTAAGAGCACGAGCAAAGCATGCTCTTGTGCCGGCACGCGGAGGAGCATAGCTGGGTGCTGCGGGCAGGGTCAGGGTTTGCACATCAGCCAGCTCCTGGTGCTGCATCACCAGGCTGGGTCCCGCGCTGCAGATCGAGTGTGGGTTTTGTCCCAGTCGTATTTACCGGTGTTGAAGTTGCTTGTGTCTGCCTGGAAAGGGCTCAGCTGCCTGGTAAAGCAGCGTGGGAGGCCAGACAACCTCGTGGCACCTGCCTGCGTTTGAAGAGCTTCTCTTGCAGCCCTCCTGCAACACCCAGGGATATGTCTCTCCCCATCCGTGCTCCCCCAAGAAGCACGTCCTGAGAAACCAGCTGCCTCGGCGAGTTTTGGGGGCTCGCGGTGTAATAGAGGCATTTGGTTTTTTGGCATTCCTCGAGTGCCTTTTGGCAGCTGCTCGGGGAGGAGGATGTGCTCTGACACGCTCAGCAATTTGAGTAGGAGCAGCCCTCTCCCAAGCAAGAAGAGATTGCTTCCTCGGAGGGTGGGTGCTGATGGGTCTCTGCCTCTGCTTGTTGCTTGCTCCTTTTCTGCCTTGGGCGAGGAATCTAGGAACGACGACAACAACTTTGTCCTCTTGATCAAACAACAGCTCTGGACCTCTGCGTTAGAGACGTCTCTATCCTACCGCAAGAGAGCGTGCGAGGAGAGCCTTGTCTAACACGGTGTGCGTTTGGGACGTGAAAGTAATTTCTTGGTTTCGAAGTCGGAGCAGATGCAGATTGTCTCGGCGTGTATCTCGGTTGCTGGAAAGGTCACTGCGTGCAACGAGGCAG